GAGCCCTGAGTTCCAGTTCTCTTGTCGACTTCCTTGTAGTGATTAGACTTGATCTAAGGGAACTGGAACTTGAAACACCCGCCCCTGGGGGATGATGAGCGAGCAGGCGATCCCCTGTTTTCCTCGAGGCTTGTTTTTGTTGATGGGGGGAGAGGTTGATGGCACACGCCTGAGTTTGGCAGAGCGGTGGCCTGAGCAGCGCGAGGTCCGAATTTTTGATGTCCCCTTACCGAGTTCTTTAGCGCACCCTCTTCTCGTGTGTGGTGGCTTCCTAAGTAACAAAAATGCACGGAATCCCTAATTCTGCCAAGATCATTGGAGAACTGTTTTTGCAGAGAAACTAACATGGACAGATCATGCAAATCTAGGGACTGGAAATTGGTGACAGCTGGAGAAATGACAGAAGCCTCACCATGCGCTAAAATGAGTTTACACGCCCAGCTCCCTTCTGAAAATCAGCAGGACAAACCGGGTTTATCTTTCTTCTCATTGCCTTTGGGTTGGGGTTGCTTGAAAGGGGAGCCAACGCGAAACACGATTCCTGCATGCGGATTCCATGCCCCATTTCGAGAAGCCTACCTGAAGACTCAGTAAGTATGGATTCAACGTATCCCTTGGCTTGATCTTGAGCTTGAGCTGGTGAGGTGGAGAGGCGGGTCGTAGCGGATGTGGCACGCGGACATCGCGGAGTGACCAGGCTGACTGGCTTCCTGCGACTTGTCTCGCACTGGGAAGTGGGACCAGACTTTTCTGCCAGAAAAGTTGAATCCCGGGAATTGCCTCCAGCGGCCAGTGGCATGGCTTTATTACCACGAACGCGGGGGGAACGTATGGAGAGAGAGAGAGAGGAGTCAGCATCCCTTGGCAGCGGCCCATTCGTTGTTTGTTCGATTTGCGCGGTGGGCAGGCATGTGGAATTGAGTTTTGTTCAGCGTGACTGCGTCCAAAACTAGGGGACTCTTACTTGCATGCAGTTGTCTTGAAGCGTATAGCAAGCATAAAAGGGGATTTGCCAAATTTACCCAAGACCTGGATTCAACTCGGATTAGCGGGCTACCGTCGCGACCCGCGCCGCTCCATGAAGGCGATATATAAATATATATATATATATATGTATATATATATATATTTTATATATACTATATATATATATATGCATATGTAAATTATTGGTAGCCAGTACTTTACTTTAGTGGTTTGTGGGTGTTGGATGGTGCTGGTAGTGTTTGGCCGGCTTGGGTGGATGGACTGATATGCATGGTCAGAATTTGTTAGCATACTGCGGCGTAGGCCATCTTAGCTCAAAGGGCCAAGACTGCTTGTTTGTCTTTGTTTTTGTTACCGCAGGATGCTTCGTGAGGCGATTCGCCGGGCTCTGTAGCGCACCGCTCCGGGGATACGCCCTGCCAGTCTGGCAGGGTTGACCCGGCCGAGGCTCGACCGCCTCCGTTGCCATATTGGGTGCCGCCCGAACCGCTTGACTTTCACGACCGCGCCTTCGTCAAAGCACATGAGCAAGAGGACAAGGGGAGCTTGGCGGACCAGTCCCTCACAGAGGCGGCTGCTGCGGTTAACAGCCAAAAGCACGCCGAACAAAACGCGATGAGCGAATGAAAGAAACAGACAACGCAAGCCCGAGCGGGACATAGGCAACAGCTGCCCGCTGGAGCGTGTTTGTATGATCGATCAGGCGTACCTTCCCGGCGCACTGCGTAATGGGATGAAGCGCGCCAGTTAGGGACCGCCTTCCTGGCAGAGAGCTGGCATCCTCAAAGAGGGTGCTGGGAGGAACTGCAACGCAATGAGGTGGCATGGGAGACTGAAGACCGGTCCTGCGCCAAACGGGGTAAACCCGAACACGAGCCACAAGGCTACCACGACGCTGGACACCTTCACTGGCTGGCTGCGCCAGGCCCGCCTGCAGGCTATGACTCGAAAGACCCCTCAGCGCGGCTAATCTTGCTTGTGCTCAAGCCAGGCACTCCCGAGCGCTGAGTGGGACCCCGAGATCTATGATGGCAGGCATAGCACCAACAGTGGGCGCTGATTCTCAAACTCTGCTGTGTCACATGTGCATCTTTCAGCAGCGCCGACTGGCCAGACGCATTGGCCTCGTGATACAATGTTACTTGTTCAACAAGGTTACTTTGCGCGTCTTTCCCAGAAGCATCTCTCTCTCTCTCTCTCTCTCTCCCGCCCGGCTTTTCGCTTAGGTTGCTGAATAAAGTAAGCGGGGGGCGAGGTTTTTCGGCTGGACGCGCTGGAGTTTCGCGCTGGGCAGATGCAGCGGGTGGACGAACCGTGGCTGGGCGGAACCGGATCGGCAACGGCGGAGTGATGCTGCGGAGACGCAGAAGCGGCTAGACGGCCAGGGCGAAACGATGCGGGCACGAGGCGGAGCGATGCCTTCACGCAAAAGGTGGCAAGAGTGCTTTTTGGCTGGGTAGCCAGAGCCGGGAGCCCCAACTTGACCAAAAGGTGGCAAGAATGTTTTTGGCTGGGTAGCCTGAGCCGGGCGAGGGCCGGAGCTCGGCTTTTTGCAGCGGCGGGGGTTTGGATCACTGATTGTTTCTCCCCCCAGTTGCTTTTGGGTTCCTGGGCTGAGCTTGTTTTGGCAGGGGGACGCCACTGCAAAAAAATACTCGGGCATTCAACGTCAACGATGGCAGAGACAGTGGGAGAGAGAGGGAGAACAAAGAAAGCCAACATATTCGACGGTACCACACAACAGCAGTGAGACAATTGTAGTGCGCTGTATCCCCTGTCGAGCAGTGTCCCAGCCTTTTCACATGACTCTGTCAGAACACGTGGTCAAGCCACGATGATGTGTGGATCGATTCTGCACCTTTCTGGGGACCTTGTGGCTTCATATGCTCCATTAGGTTGTGTGGCAGGTTGTGTTGCCTGTCCGGAGTGGTTGGCTTTGCCGTGTTCAACTACAACATGAAACCCGCCTCGACGCGCGACTAGGCGGATGTTGTCTGAGGTCGCTGATGGTGGTGGAATACCTTGCTGCCAAAGGCCGGCTGTTTGCATGCAATGATTCTATCGCAACAAGAGCCTGCTACTACGGAAGTATGGCTTGCAGTGGGACGGCCCAAGGGCTCAATTCAGGAAGTTCCCCAGTGACAAACGCCATGCGGTTTACCACAGTGGTGCAAGAAGGCTGGACTCCCAAGCCTGTAAGCATCAGCTAGTGGCCCCGTGGTGTCAAGCTGACCGCGAGCCATAGTACACATGTTTGTTGTCTTTTGCTCTGTTGCATGGGGCATCAACTGAAGCCTCTACCGCAGGACTTTTCCACATGCCCATCCGAAACGTTAATAGGAGGCCAGGGTGCAAATCCAGAAAGTCCACCGTTTGACTTGAGGCTCATCACTACATCTTCATGGGCCACGTTTGAAAAACAGAGCCTCAACTTGCCCAGGAGTCATGGGATTGGAAGCTCGCCAAAAGAAGCACACGTAAGCCGGTGAGCAACTGCGTCAATCCGTTTGCGTTACACATGGTTGTCAAGTGTTGTGTGGGTGCAAAAGCGCTCCTGCAAGATGTTCATTTGGGTCCTCCTTCTGTTTCGGGGCCCTTCCCAAACATGACTACCTCAGTTGGAGAAGCACCAATAAGACGCTACTGCAGGCAAAGCAAGTTGGACACATTTGGACATATGTTTTCCTTGCCAGGTGCTAAATAGCTGAAATAGTGTTACTTTTCCCTCGGTAAGGGGATGAGTATGTTTTCTATGTAGCACCCGCGCAGTATTCTCCTCGGTCTTCCCTCAGCTCGACTCGGTTCAGTCGCTTCGATCGAGGCCTGGTAGCCTCCACAGCTGCAGCGCCAGCGGTGCTACAGCTGCTGCCGGACATCAAATGGCATCAGGAGATGCTCAGTGTGTGAGTCTAGTGGCGACCTTTGGGGTTTGGATGGAAACAACTAGAAGTGGGGAAAAAGCCAATTCTTTAGTAATTGCCGGATGAGGGCCACGCGCAAGAGGTGCTGAACTTTCTACACCTTTGCGTTTTTGTGTGCCATTTTTTAGTGGCGAACAGAAGCTTTGGACTCTTCTTGGCCAATCCACGGAAGTTAGTTTTTAGCATCACCTGTAGTTCTGGCTTAAGACGAGTTGTTCTAAGGTGATGTTTAAGGGGAAATATAGGAACTTGCTCGGCTCTTTGGTCGGGGTGAAGATGGCTTTACGGATTCAAAGGGGGGTGGTTCAAGAGTGGAGGAATGTGGAGGATAACGGCCTTGGAAGGGGGCTCTGAAACAAGCGCTTTAGGTGCGCCTGGTGCGGGGTACGCGAGCTGAGCAGGTTGGAAGTTTGGGCAGCTCCTTTATGGGGAGCGAAGGACCCTTACTTGATTCGCGAATACGTAGCATTTTGCCCGGATGGATGCGACGGATGAGAGCAGGTCCAAGGGGTCTAATGCCTTTGGACATGTTCCCAGCTGAGGCGATTCCACCCTCACGTCCGGTTTGCTTCGGTCCACCGAAAATGGCATCACCCCCGAAGCGGCTTACCTTTGACCAGGGTCACCGGACTGTTTGTTTTGCTTGTTTTTTGTAAAGGAATCCGATCACCGCGAACCTCGGCAATCCCCGTAGGGAAATACGAGAAAGCTCGAGATGCGAGAGGAGCAAATCATCTCACAAGGCTAGGCTTCCTCTTGGTATGCCGAGCTTGTTCCGTCTTTTCAGGGGCAGAGTCCCAACTTATTTTTTCAAGCAACAAGCGCAACCTTGCGGACAACCTGTTTGCAAGCACCTGTTTGAACACATGCTTATTTAAGTGCTGAATATGGCATTCTTAAGGATTAGGCTCTTTTGGGGGACGAAGAAAAGGGCAAAAGGACGTTAGCTGGACGATATCATGGTGTTGGGGGCCTATTCGTTCTGAAGGCCCTACCCTAAGGCACTTGGCCGAAGAGTCACCTCGGATACAATTTTGGTCGCTAGTTGCAGCTGCCAGGATTCAACGGCTGTTTATTCCAACGAGCTCACCCATGATGTTGGCCGCTTTCTCGTAGATCCCTTCTACTTTGTGAACTATACAAGCTACAGTTTGTGTCCAGACAGTAGGGCGGATGCACTATGAGCCCTTGGTATGAACCTCCAGTTGCTTGGTTCTGATTTCTTCGGGGTCAAACACGGGTTATGGGTTAGCTACATGGATCCAAACAGGCCTGTCCACTTCCATTGGAAAGATGTATGCAATCAGCCGGTTTCGGGTTGGCCCAAGGAACGGCCTCTTTGCAATTGACGCCGATGAGCTACGGGTGCCCCTTGGAGTTATGAGTCCGTTCCTTGCCTTCCACATTCCTTAAACCTCCCTTTGCATTTTGGTGTTTGCCTCTGTCTGTTTGTATGGGTGGTGTTTGCGCCTTGCATGGTGTGTACATAACGGCTGTTTCTTTTGGTGAGCTTGCTGGAGTCCTTCTTGTTTGCAAAAGTCGCTTGTGTTTGGCTGGAGGTTAGCTGCTTGCAGGCTTTGGCTTTGCCTGGTTGCCTTCAAAAGATGGCCTCCATAATTTTCCTTTTGAAGAGCCAAGCAAATTGTACGATTCGCAGCTGGAATTTGGTGTGTGGGAGAGTTCATATAGGCTGTTGGTTATCACTTGGACTTCTCAGCGCAATTGCACGCCAGCTTGTTGCTGAATCCACGCTGCAACCAAACTCTGCATACCGGTTTGAACCTACTGAACTCTGTGGCATTGAGAGATCTCAGGAACAACATTGCGAATCGTTGGAATCCGGGCCTAACCAACAGCAATAGCGAGGAAATTGTCCGAGGGAAGACGTTGCTGTAGTTCATGTTGCACCATGTATGCAATCATCTCTATGCATGACACATACACACATGCTTTCTAGAGCATGGCAGGGCCGGACTTTAACTTATTCTCTCGGTCATTGGGACTTTACACCTTTGGCGAAGATCAACTGTGTGGAGAACAAAAAGTTTGGAGTTGCTAGGGCCAACCGCCCATTCTTTGCCAGACAAGTTCACTTCGCTTGTTTGGCTCTTGTTCTCCGTAGGGAGGAGTTGTTCATGGTTGGGGGAGCAAATCCTACATCAAGGGTGCATGGTTTGGCACGGGAGGTTGTTCACTGGCGATCCTGCCTTCCCTTCGGTTTCATAAGGCTTCGTCCCCTTGCGGGTCAGGCTTGGCCATCCTCCATTTTGAACCGAGGGTGTTCCCTATTGGGATATAAGAAATCAGCAGGAACTTCCACAGGAAATGCATAGTGTTTGACGGGTGTTTGGCCCAGGTCCTGTACAAGTTGCTTGTTTTTTTGGCTGGTTTCATGAACATCTTCGACCGGACGCCGGCAGCAACACCCGGGTGAGGCTGGGCGCGGGCACGTCGATGGCCAACTGGCGGGAGGTGGCCACCAATGAGACCCAAAGGGCACTGGAGTCAGGGGCCAAGCTGCGAGAAGAGAAAGAGGTGGGAACATGGCCAACGTGTTTGTTTGGATGTTTACATGCTTTGTTGTTTGGTTTTGTGGTTGTTTATGTGTGTTGCTTGGTTGGTTGGTTCTCCGTTTGAGTGATGCATCGGGTTAAAAAGGGGGGCAAGCTGCACGTTACTGCAAACTGCAATGCTGGCGGGGGTACTTCGATCGATTGATGGACGCATGGATTGTTCGTGCATTGCTTGTTCTCTTGATTGCCTGTATGCCCACTTTGCTTTCCGCTTTCTGAGTCGAGGTGTTGGAACTTGCCGGACTTCCAACGTTGCCATCTCTACCCACAATGCACTGTCAGTTTGGCATCGCACCTCTCTCAATTCCTGGTGGAGGGACTTGTTGCAATATATGTTGTCTCTTCAGGTAGGAATGGAAGTACTTCATTAAGGGTGTCCCCTTCGTTGGGAAGGCCAATCTTTTCCCCGCTTCTCTCCTTGTTTGAACAGCCGGCCCTCCCCAAATTTCCTGGAACTTGTGTCGCTATCTAAGTCTTCACCGCCTTCCAATGCAAAAGAGTTTTGAGCATGGGTTAGTTTAAGAATTGAAACCCTTCGATGTGAACGAGCAGGCCAGTAGATGTCTTGCTTGGATGTTGCAATAGTTTTGATGACGTCCAATGTTTCACTGCTACTTTGAGAGGCTGACACAAGTTGGACATTTGAAGGACCTGTGATGGGACCCCTTTTGGTGATGTTAAATGGGGCACCCCAGACATGCCGCAGGGGAAACCGCACAAACACACACATCTGGGGTAATGTTCCTAGATGTTCTGGCGTTCCCACTGAACATGGACAACCCTGAAAGCCTTGCTAAACCTGGGCTGCTTGTCAATTTGGGAAACCTCCACAAAGGGAAACCACCAGGAATCTATGGGGGCCCTGTGGGTTTGGTGCAAAACAGCGGACCCTCAAAATGCGCAGGTTCCTTATTTAGCTTTCCCCTTGAACCAACCGCCAAAGGACACTCTTTTGGTTTCCCTTTGAACAATCAGAAGGGGGTCCACCATTTTGAGAAGCACCCATGCAACTTGGTGGCTCCCAGCGGTCCCCTTAGCTTTGAAAGGCTTCTAGGGTTTAGTGGCATTTTCCATTTCACCCAGAGAAGCTTTCAACGGGGGATACGTCCGGGGGATCTGAGGACAGGTCACCTCCGGGTAAGCGGCGTGTTCGCGAGGTACATCCGCTCAGAGCTGGGCTCCTTGGGCGCGTCGGTGAGCATCGAGCACCTGCGCTGGGCGTACCTGGCGGGACCCAGGGTGGACGACCCGTCCCCTGGGGTTACTTTGTTGGATGTTAGGACTTTAACTTTTGGCCAACCAATGGGTTTTCCATTAAACCACTAAAAGTTCAACTTTAAGCAGGGGAGCAGAAAGCAACCGAGGTTTGTTGCGAAGTTCTCAAGCGAAGGCTCCATGGTTGGGGGGTTGATTGCCAATATTGCCAACATGTTTGGTTTGTGTGAAAGGCGGGGCATCCAGACGTAGGGCCGTGCTGCGCACGGGATTGCCTGCCCAGTCCCCCTTATCAAGGGATCCCCGATTGATGGACACCTTGGAATCATTTTCCCGGAAGTAGATGCCCGCGCACCGAATAAACTAACTTAGAATTGGGAAGCATTGCTGGGCCTGGAGCTTGCTTTGGAGCTTGGATCTGAGGGAGTTGAGTTTCCTTAGATTTTTGCAGTGCCAGCTCTGTCCCACGGGCAGGTGTTGCACAGTTACGGCCACGTGGAAAGCCGGGGGGCTCAGACGAATCTCCACTTTGCCCTGTTCTGGGATCTAATGAAACAAACTGAGTTGCCTTTAGTCCTCAAACCTGATGTTCCAATGACCCAGCTGCAGCACATACGAGTTTGCAAGGTTGATGCCATGATTGCAGTATATTCTATATATATATATGTACACATTCCTTGGTTGATGTGGTTGGTTCAGATTTTGCTCAGCACTGCACGACCAACGGCCAACCATGCAAGGAATTAGAACAGCCCCTTTCTTATGCACCCAAGACTTGCATTTCTCAAACAGGGAAAGTCGTGTTCGCTTGATATTTTAGGACCTGAGGTAAGGTTCCACTAGGGTTCCACCAGGGTTCCACGAAGGTTCCACGAGGTTCTGCGAGGGCGCGAGCACTGAAAAGAGCACCGCATGCTGTTGGGGATATCACCCAAGCTTTTTTTGTGGAGAGGAATGCTCGTCTTGAAGACACGTAGTATTGGTTAAAAGCTACCTGCCCTGCCCCTGCCCAACCGGAATCAGCAGACCTTAAGTGAAGTTTGCTTGCACACATGAAGCTTTCATTCTGCCCAGCCGATCATACTAATTTGATAAGGGAGCTCTCCTCCTCAAACATGTATTGTGCTTTCCTCTGGAAACGCACATGTGCTTTTTCTGGGAAAATAATTGTCTTCTCGAAGGGCATTCAATGGATATTAGACAGTGGTTTTAAGCTGGCAGGCTCAGTTCTGCCAGAGGACCTGGAGCTTCCCAGCCAGGCAAAGTCGCGGGCGATGGGGCGATCCGAGCGATTACCCCGGATTTTGTTGTCTTAAACAAGGAGAGTGGAGGGAGGGAGAGTGGAGGAGGGAGTGGAGGGAGGGGCAGATAGGGGCTGGCTGGATTACCGGCGATTCATCAATAGTTCATGGAAAATGGGTGCTGCTTTGAGATTTCATTTCGATTTCGGCTTCACGCTTTGACCTTTTGGTTTTCCAGTTTCGACTTGGCTTACTTTGCCCTTTGGACAAGTGAGGGTTTCAATTGTTGTTTGTATTTAAAGTACTCCTTCACATGCCCCCACCCCTGCGCAAGCAATTGTGGACGTGAACAGGCACCTCGGGCGTGGCACTTCCACAAGGTTTGTGTGTGTGTGTGGCGGGGTAGGGTTGTTTGGCCTTCAAAACTCAATGGATCTTGTTGATCTTGTTTGTCCGGTGAGGCCCTCGAAGACCAGGGTTGAGCTGATTTAGATGTTCCGTTTGGCAACGTGTCTAGTTGGGGGCCGGGCCTTCCAAACATGAAACCGGGAAAACCTGGCCTACTAGGAAACGTGGCGCAAGGATTGACATCTTGAAATGTTTGTTGCGCTGCCAAGCGGGCTGAAGGATTGTGTTTATGTAGCCTGAGTATTCGAAGCTCCGTGTCGGCGTGCGCGTTCCTTTTACAAATGCTCGCCCCTGCTTCGTTTATGGTTTCCGTTGCAGCCAACCTTGAAAATGGTAACACGCAATATCACGCACTCGTTAGAAGGGGGTACTGGAGTGATTTGGGCAGAACGGCCATGTACGTCAGGGGGCTGTGAGAATCAGGGAATGTTGTCCAACTTTGTGTTTGATATCAAAAAACAAGAATTGGTCATTGCGTTCCGGTGGCATCACAGAAGTGGGAACCTCCCAAAGCACTGTGAATGCATTGAGGGGTCCCCCCCTTCCGCCTTTTTTGCCGGCGCCCTGTTTCCAGGCAGTTTCCGGTAGTTAGCGATAAAGCTTTCAAAGATTGAAAACCAAAGCGCCACCAGATTGAGCTTGTTGGCCTGATTCAGTTAGATGTTTTGAGCCATTTAGTTCGGTTTTTACATCAGGACTTTTACCTGGATGGGGATGAACAGTAAACCCTGACCATCGTTCAGCAGGTGTCCTGGGCTTGTTCAAAGCATATGTACCACCATCATTGCTGTCAAGGGGGAAGACCGAAGATGGAGTTTCCCTCCTTTGACCTTTTTTCTTCTCTTGCCCCTCTGGTGAGGTCATGAGGGTGATGGTTCGCGATATTTTTCCAAGCTCCTCCGGCTTCTCCAGGTGTGGTTCCTTTGGCCCCTCTTCCTTGCGCGGCCCACTGGGGACCCTCAGCACGCAGTGAAGCTGCGCCACAACAAGGCAAGCACGAGCGATGTGCTCGACGGGTCGGTTGCTTCGACATCACCGCAAATTTCCCATAGAGGATTGATGGTTCACTATCAGCCTTGCTTAAGCCCGCAGCCCTCGATGGTTTAGACACTTTTTGGCGCCTTTTGGAGCCTTATCTCCTTTGACGTGTGTTTGGGGAAGGGTGGAAAGCAAGGAGCCCCGCGCTCACCCCCTTAGATGGTGAGGGGGGAGTGATTCATACCCCCCCCCCCCTCCCCCCGAGAAAAGCCTATCCTCAAAATGGGGTCGGACTGGGGCCTGCCAAAGTAGTCTTCCACTAAGTACCCTTTAGTGGCTTAGTATTGGTTTAGTATTCTTGTGTACTGGCTCAGTGGTGTTTAGAATTGGTTTATTAGAGTAACATTCCTTAGTGCCGGCCCGGTACTGGTTAGACTTGGTTTAGTATTGGGTTAGGGTTGGTTTAGAATTTCTTTGTAGATGGCCCTGGGTTCAAACCTCTGCTGCCCACCTTTAAACAGACCAAATTATTACCTTTTTGGGTGTTCCCCGTACTCGTACCATCCCTTTGAAAATTTGGCTGGGTGGCAACTCTACTGCTGGTTGGTGGGGCTGGTGGTGGTTAGTGGTTGGTTGTGGTGGGTTTGGCGGGTGTGTCGGGACTGGGGTATGGAGCAGGTTGGACGCCACAAGCGCAGACATTGCCACCCAAGAAACACCTGAAGAAATCTGGGTTTCTGGCCACCATGTTTGTGATTTTCCACCGGCGAGGGAATCATGTTTGTTTTCTGTTGCGTATTGACTCATCGCTACCCAACATCATTAGACACACACACACACATTTCTGAAATCGATGTGCGTAGTTATCGAAATGTCGTCATGTGCTAGGTTGCTATGCAAACACTGCTCAACAGGAGTCTCCAAACAATGTTGTGCCATGTTGTACCTCAAGCTCTATGGGAAGGGTGCGGGCTGCCAAGTGCGTGTTCTTTTGGGGAGGTCCCCCCCTCCCCTTTTAAAGAGTCGAACCGGAAACCAACGAGAAGCCGCTCACGCGGTTGAGCTTATCAACTTGTCAGGCTATTTGGGCCACCGGCTCAGCACATGGCCTTGCGGCCTGGGTCGTTTACAAATCGGAGACCCCATCCAGGTGGAGATTTCCTTTTTGAAACAGACCCAAGGTGGACTCGGATCGCGCCGGTTGTTTAGCGGCTGCAAGCATGGCAGGGTTTGGCAAAGAAGTCTGCGTGGGGCTAGATAGTCAGGCACCCTGGCTGCTGCCCTGGCATATGGCGTACCATTGTACACACATTGACATGCATTTAGGGCCAAGGATCACCAAGGGCACATGGTTGGCCTTTGCGGGGTGGCTGCTGAAGTGTTGGCCTCTAAATTCCGCGTGGGCTGTCGCAGGCTCAACGCAGGTCCTGGTTCCATTCTCTACCCTTTGTGCCGCCTCAGGTAGGGGGGGAAGCAGATGAGGCGGTCAAACGATGCCTGACTCGGATTTCTTAAGAAGGTGGCTTGTAATTACAGCCTTTTGTCCAGACTTCATTCCGCGAAGCGTCTGTGGCATTTAGGGGCCTTAATCAAGGGTTCGGACTCACAAGCGAGGCTTTCACACCAGAGGTTTGCACAACCACCCACGTGTGCCTTTTGATGCAGATGCCAGCCCAGGGAAGTCCTTGAATGAAAAGTTGGGCTTCAGTTGGGCTGACTCTGGTCGCGTTGCTTTTGTCTGGCAATATTTCAGATGGTTCTTGACGTAAGGGACGGCCGATTGACACGACTGTTGCTCTTACTAAACAAGTAACAGGGGGACCCCTCATTGTACGAAGCACCTAGACGTTCTCTTGACAGGGCACGCAACCCCGCCAGAATGTTCCGAGACGCTCTGTTAAAGTTCACACATCGCGGAGATGCTTGCAGCGACGCTATGTTGCCTTGCCTGTGCAAGTGAGTGCGCCCACGCCTGGCACAGTGGGGCAGCGCGCATGCCGTCTAATGGCCTACATGGGTGTGAAGACACATAAGCTCCAATCTTGCAAGCGTTAGGGTTCGGGCTCGCTGAAGTGCTAGCGCGTACCTCGTGCGCCGTAAGGCGTTAGGTGCATGGTTGGGCATGGGGTTTTGCAGCCGCCGCCCTTCCCTTGAAGGCGGGTGGAAGCTGTTTCTTTGTAATTCCTCTTCTTGCTTCACCTTCCTTCAGAAAGAGGAAGCGTCGACGATGTTTCCAGCGGATAGCCGTTAAGACAAGTCTGCGCTGAACCATCTGAATCGGCAAGTCGCGCGGCCCGCTCAGCGAGCCAGATCCTATCCTAATGCTGAGAAACGCGCGGCGGCACGCTTGCCACGGATGGCCCCCTATACGCAACGATTTAGCAGAAGCAGCCTGACGTGAGCGGAAATTGTCTTCAACTACAAGCTAGGATAGACAGTTGTTGGCAACAACCAGCTCGCGTTGCGAGCGCAAGACATGTGGCATTTGTCACTCCCAAGGTTGTTTACGGGCAAATTGCGTGTCATTCAACATGAGGATCCTGCGACTCAAGAATGGCGCGGCCTGGCCCCAGCGGCTAGCATAGCCAAACAGCATGTGCTTGTCAGTGCGCACAGGTGGCACTCCGCTGTGCGGGCGTGAGGGTTTCTTGTCAGCGTGTTTCAGCCATCTTCGTTGTCCCTTTCGAGCGTGGGCATCGCTGTTTGAACCAAATAGGGGCACAACCGTTTGTGGATCCTTTGTGTCCGTGATTTAGCGTTGTAATGATGGACATTCGCAGGAGGTTTGCAAAATCAAAACCCTCGGCAGGCCGAGCAGGTCTATGAAGTGCTGGCACCACGGGCGCCTTGGCATCCTCCGAAGCGCCTTTAGGGACTTCAGGGCTGCGCCTCGCACAATCCGACAGAAAGCTCCTTGAACATGGTCGGAAGTGGTTCCTTTGAACTGGATTCCGTATCGGTTGGGTGCCAGACAGAGTGTTTGGCTGCTTCAAGATTTTTTGCAATTCGCTCAGAGGTGTTGCAAGACGCTGAAGGGGACCCATGCCAAGTTACTGTAAACTCTTGTTGCTGTTCCCCCTCGTCCACGTCGGTTCTGGTGAGGGCTTGGCATAGCCACGATGCGTGAAGGCTCAGCAGCTTGACACAGCGGATGGCACGTGCCTTTCAGCCGTCAAACTTCGCGCGGCTCACACCGCCCCAAACCCCCACAAAGCCTCAGGGCACTGCGAGCCTACTCTCAGAGTTGCCCGAGGCAAGTCACCTTGTTAGCGTTCGGTTTGCCCATGTTGGTCAGCTTTAGTCATGGACCCGGGCCTTCTAGACAAGTCTACGTGAGCAGCCAATAGAACAGCACGCAACTCTCAATCAATCACAATCATATCATAGAGCCAGAACCTAGACACTCGCAGACTGGGCCGCAAGTCAGACTGGCCTGTGTGGCACATCCTCGCCATGTCGGTGCTGGTCATTGGCGCGGCCGGCGCGGTGGGCAAGCGCCTTATTGGGGCTTTGGCGGCGCGAGGCGTGGGGATGGCAGGGAAATGCTTGGCGGGGGTCCGAACCCAACGGGGGAGCAAGGTTGTTTGCAAGAGGGGTGGAAAGGGTACCAACCCCTCAACCGGTTTTGATGGTTTGGGTTGTGCAAACAGCGGTTCGCCGTAAACTGGCTGCACGCAGCACAAGCAGCGTAATGTGGGACCTTGTTTACTGCGGAAGGGCCCCTCAAACAGTCAAAGCAGTGCTCGGGGATGCTGAATAAGAATCTGGCAGGGAGCTTGGATGACTTAAGTTTTGATTTTTTTTGTATAGTCACTACTTGGTTTAGTATTGCCAGCACTTCCTTTTGGGTACTTGGTTTAGTATTGCCAGCACTTCCTTTTGGATTGCCACTACTTCGTTTAGTATTGCCAGCACTTCCTTTTGGGTTGCCACTACTTGGTTTAGTATTGCATTTTGCTCAGATTTGTTGGACCGGGATTTGTTGGGGTCTGGACTTGACATGGACCATGGTACCGAAACAGGGGGGTCGTGTTTAAGCCGGTGAAACTTGACATAATTCAGACTGCCGATATTCCCCTTTGCTTGAAGGTCAGTGCCCAAATGACTTGCATCAACGTGGGCCGAAGCTCGCTCGGATGACAAAGGCCGTTCAGTCAGAGGTTGCGTTGCCATAGCGCCATTCGGACTTGTTTTGGCGCTAGGGCTATGTAGATCACCTGGTTTGTTTGTTCCTTTGCTTTTTCAAACCGTGATAGCAAGCGGCTTGGTGAACACAAGCGACAGAGATGCTCCGAGTTTGTTTGGAGCCTCTCGGGTACTCATCGAACGAACGCTGCCCAGGCCTACCGTGGACCTACCGGGACTTACCAATGTACCTTATTAAACCCTGGGTTGAGGTCTGATGTAAACATGATCCTGGGGCAGGTTGCTGTTTTTGCTGTTTTGTTACCTGCTATCTTTGTAAATTGATATTTGGGCAAGGGGTCACTTGTGGAAGTCCGTTGGTGGGAGCCCACTTTCGTTTTTTTTTTTTACCTCCCCGCTTCCCTCTAGGTGAAGAGCATCCACTACCAGCGTTGGGCTGAATAAATGGCACCGCTTGCGTTTCTCTTGGGCTTCCACCGGCTGCCGGTGGCATCAGTTTTTTTGTCGTTGACCCCCAATTGCATCCGTTTCCAGCAAAGTGATTGAATGTGTTGATCAGAGCTCGGCAGCTTTACAGTCGACACTGCGCTCTTGAGGGTGTGACATCCTGACATCGCTCAGGCATCCGCAAGGCTCCAAGAGTTGCCGGGTCCCGAACCACTGTGACACTCAAATCATACAGAGAGACCATATGCGTCGAAGCTAGGGGCCGCTGTTTAAGTGTTGGTGCTGTGGTCGTCAGAAAATAATCAAAGAATTCACTGACTTGATGACTGGCAAGAAGGCAGCACAAGAGTGAGTTCCTCACGTACCACTGGATGGTAAGCCAAAAAGCTAGCCCACGCCAAGCAGGAAGCCAAATCGGAGATCTTGAGCCGATATGGCCTTTAGCCAAGGGGTTGCAAATATCGTCTGAAGGGGGTCCCGAACGTTGAAGGTCGTCGCAGGACAATCATCATTTGCCCAAGCTGGTTGATTGACCACAGGAAGACCAAATTTCAGGGTGGACTCAGACCTGGATGTTTTCCAAGGGACAGACCTGCATGACTCATCACTGTTCTGGCTTGTTCTGGTCATCAAAGTCAAAACTACCACCTCGAAGGTGACTCTGACAACGTTAGAACAATGGGGCCAGTACAAGGACCAGACGAACATGTCCCAACATACATTTGATGTCCGCAGGGTCCCCAATAAACAGAAGACTGCCAACTGAGACCTCTGGAGTCGGTTTTCGTTTCGTCGCAAGCACTGCCGGAGGCGAGCGCATCGTGGCAGTGGACAAAGCGCCACAGCTTCCGGACAGCATTCGTGGCCTGGCCGGCTGGAGTGCGGAGAGTTGGGTCTCAAGGGAAGCGCACATTGTTGGGATCTCTTGAGGGGCTCCCATTTGACTTTGGTTTCTTGTTTGGAGTTATGGTTCAGTTGATTGGGATCTCCTATTCGGGGGTTTCCCCGCTGCAAGTCCTGAGGAGATGAAGCTGGGGCCCAACAAGTCAGACCCGCCTTTCTGGTGTTTTGGTGACCTTTGGTGACCATATCCGATCTCAAGACCTGAAAAATACGGGCCCTTCACACGAATTGACCTCAAATCATGGGGTTTGGTACTTGGGATGTTGTCAGCTTGCACGATTTGGTTGTTTGACATTTGACTTGTTTCTCCTGCCGAAGGGCTTGCCCAAATCCCTTGCTATGCGGCCTGCTTGCACAAGTCACCTTCTGTTTGCCACATGATGGATTGATTTAGACGTCGGCTCTTGCTTGCTTGCTTGCTTGCTTGCTTGCTTGCTTGCTTGCTTGCTTGCTTGCTTGCTTGCTTGCTTGCTTGCTTGCTTGCTTGCTTGCTTGCTTGCTTGCTTGCTTGCTTGCTTGCTTGCTTGCTTGCTTGCTTGCTTGCTTGCTTGCTTGCTTGCTTGCTTGCTTAAATGCCGCCCCCTTCAGGACGAAATGCTTGAATGGGAAAGCAGAGTTGGTCATGTTATTGGACAGCAGCATGAAACAGATGCTATTCAGAGACGTAGCACTTCTCGCACTTTGCCCCTCAATGTATTGGCTGGCAGTCAGCTGGAAAAATCGGGCATCTTCAATCAGAAGGGGCTTCATGAGTCATGCTCCGACTTCAAGACACCCCCCCACCATTTTTTGACTTTCCACGGGTGATGTTATGTGCGACTTTCCCAGGCTTATACTCGCCTGGAGCAGCCAGTTGTTTGTTGCATGAACCTTGTGCCTGGTGTCAAATTGATCTTGCTTTGGGCCTCGTTCCTGTTTGACCTCCTTTGGGCCTTTGGGATATTTCATGTGCCCTATTGGGTGCACTCAGCGGAATCAGAACCAGTTGGAAGGGCCCACTCAAACAGCATGGCCCAAAGTTTGAGAAGCGTCCAGCATGGATGGGTTGGTCATGTAAGATTGTCAGTTGGGAACCAACTGCTTCTAGATCCTTGAACATCTTGAAAACAGTTTTTAGGGCGGCGACTTTGCGCCTCGGGAAATCATTAACAAAGAGTGAAGTGCTAAGATGTTGAATTCCGTCGGGGGATTTCTTGGTGGCCCAGCACCTCGTTAAATTGTTCCCCTTTCTGCCGGCTGGTTTTTGTTGGGTTGTTTGCCTGAAGCGAATCGACCTGATGTGAGCTTTTGGTATCAACTACGTTGGTGTTAGTTTGTTGGCTGTCAAGGGTCCAACGGTTAAGCCTAAGCGGTCCTTATCCTGTTTCTTTGAGCCAGTGTGGCGATTTCAAAGTAAACCAAAGGGGGAAACTTTTCGAGGGTCCCTTTTTTAGACTTTCCAAGTTATAGGATGACACCCTGGTGGCTCCTTGACCGGCCAGTTTCCTTTGGCAGTGCTGAGGGCACCTGGTGATGCATGCGGAGACCAACGCGGATGTTCGAAACTTCTACACCATGCAGAGGCTGTTCAAACGCCACCGCCGGGAGCCCCAGCCTCATGGGTACCGGGCTTTCGGACCAGGATTCGAATCTGACTTGTCCAGTCATCGGGCTTTGAACTTGGTGGGAAGGGTATGTTAATAGTGGACATAGTGCACCTGGGCCGTCTTGAAGAGCATCGAATGGAAGCCACGCCGTTTGGGGGCTCAGACCACGTAAAACACAAATGGTTGGTTGACATGGCTGACATCCACCAAGTCACATAGATCATGCCCCAAATGGGGACCCGAAGACCGAAGGTTTGTCTCGACATGGCTTGATCCGGCGCCGGTTCCAGGCTTCGTTCACACGGTGTGGAACCTCGCCGCCCCGCTCTCGGTGGAGACGGCGGTGAACCCCAAGGTCGCCGAGCAGGTGACCATCAACGGCATGCGCAATGCGCCTTGGGTCGAGCGAGTTTGATGTGTTTCTGCAAGTCATATCTGGGAACCAAGGATCACTCCGCAGAATCAGATGGAACCCAACAAACTGTTCTGGCGAGCCCCTGTTTGATGGAAGGTAACCAAAGCAAGCCTGGAATGATACACCATAGAGTTGTGTATGTTTTTGAAGCTTTAATGTTTCGCAGTGGTTGAGGTCAAGCGAGGAGGAGTGGCTACATGGTAGCTTGAGGGTTGGAATTTTCAAAGCAGAACTGCCTCTCTCGTGGCCCATTTCGTGACGCTGTCCCTTTCCGGCCGAGCCGCTGCCGCTGCTCATGTTAAGCGTCCCTTTTTAGTTTACATTTCAGGACTCAGTGGCATGTTTTCATGGCTAAGTTGAAAGCTGAAGACACGTGCTGTGCTAGTTGGCGGTGCCAGTGACAGACGAGTCAGCTCAAATTGAAGGTTGCCATTGCGGGCTCGGCCACTATCGAACAACTTCCCTTTGCCGATTTCAAGGCCCAGTGCTTGTGATTCCCCTGGTTGCTTTGAATGGAGGCTTCAGGACTCCAGAAGGAATATATATATATATATGTATTGGCTTGAAAGAGACACTATGTTGTAAATCCCCTAACTTGTTGAGCTAGAGTCCAACAATGCGTCTTCCCATTTGCGGTGTCCAATTCGAATGAGTAACCCCTTTCGGGATGTCAATCTGATTCAATGTAGGCATATGATGTATCTCTGAGCTTGCCGAAGTAGCAGTGATGGTGGACGTTGTTTAAACATGGTCCTGGCTTACCTGTTGAGTTTGTGAACCTGAAGGTTGAGTGTGGGCCTAGTTCTGGCCCAGACAGCCCCAAATAAGTTGTCCTTGTGGTTTCTTAATCCTGTTACAATCGCTTTTAAAACGGACGGCATCCAGACCTATCTAAACTGACTCTGATTTAAGCAAACATGTTCCCGTTTAGGAGTCAACACGAGCACGATGAGTTGTAAAAATATCCTAATCCCGCAACTTGTTCCTGATATCTGTTTTTGAGCCCCAGAGCATCCCACATGCGCTACATTTACAAGTCGTTTGTTGCCCCGAATGGACCTCTTGATTCTATGAACTCAGGGAACCATAGACTGTTTCCAGGCGGACACCCCAGCCCCCGAGCTCAGGTGCTGTGGGCCATGTACGAGGCCAGGGTGAAGAAGATCCTCTTCACAGATTCGATCGGCTCCTAGCCCAGGAGAGTGACCCTTGACCCTAGATCTAAGGGGTGCTCTCCTCCAATCCGATCAAACCCAAGCAGCTTGGCAGAGAGGCAAAACCTTGTTGCGATGGTTTTCCTTGTTGTTCCTTTGTTTTACGCTTGTCATTTGGGG